CACAAGCACCGCGCGCCCGGGGCCGGCGCTCACCATGCGCCATGTGCCCAGGGCCAGGCCAGCCCCGAGCACCTGGCGGGCGCATGCAAATGCCCCCGCGGGTGCCATGGTGCCCGCGAGCACAGTGTTGGGGACCACGGGTGTAAATGTTCACTGAGGTGTCTCTGTCACTCAGGGCAGTTATACACAGTGTTCCATTCAATTTTTCCCACGCATACACAGAATGAATTTGTTATGGACACCAAAATGAAGGGAAAGCATTACACAGCATATTGGTGCACAGAACAAACATTCTGTGGGAAGGGGGTGCAGGATTAGGACAGAGTGGGAGAGCAGAGATGTGAGGGCTGTAGTTGGGAGTATGGATTTTGAGGTGCACCACGGATGAGAGGTTTGAGTGCTATCTACTGAAGGGCTACAATGGAAGAGAAGATTCCCCCCAGCCCTCCCCCACCACCACCCAGGTAGTGTTCTGAGGAGGAGGAGAGGCACCTCTCCCTGCCATGGCAGCTCTGGAGCCTGGGACATGGGATAGCCAACTGTCCTCCAGCCATGACAGGCCTGGGCTGAGGCTGAGACATCTCTCCCCACCACGGCCCTAAGCGCTTGCATGGCCCTTACTAAATAGCTGCACAGTGACAGGGCCATGCAGCTTAAAGGGGACTCAGGTCATAGGGTTTCTCACCTATGTTGATTCTTTGATGTTCAGTGAGGTTTGTGTTCTGATTGAAGCTTTTCCACAGTGAAAGCAGTTATAGGCTGTGTCTCTTGTATGCATTATTTGATGTTTATTAAGGTTTGAGCGCTGACTGAAGCTTTTCCCACAGTCAGAACATTCAAACAGTTTCTCTCCTGTGGGGTTTCTCTGATGTGTAACCAGATGTGAGCTCACATGAAAGCTTTTCGCACAGTCAGAGCAGCTGAAATATTTCTCTCCAGTGTGGGTTCTCTGATGTATAATAAGATTTGAACGACGACTGAAGCTTTTCCCACAGTCAGAGCAGCTGAAGGGTTTCTCCCCGGTATGGATTTTCTGATGTTTAATGAGATGTCCTTTCTGAGTGAAGCTTTTCCCACACTCAGAGCAGCTGAAGGGCTTCTCTCCTGTGTGGATTCTCCTATGACTAACAAGCTCTGACTTCTGACTGAAGCTTTTCCCACAGTCAGAGCAGTTGAAAGGTTTCTCTCCTGTGTGAATTCTCTGATGACTAATAAGATTTGCCTGCTGACTGAAGCTTTTCCCACAGTCAGAGCAGCTGAAGGGCTTCTCCCCGGTGTGGATTCTCCTATGTTTAACAAGGTATGACCTCTGAATGAAGCTTTTCCCACAGTCAGAGCACTTAAAGGGTTACCAATACTTTGAGAATCACTTATGTTAGATTCTAAAGGACTGGCCCAGGGTGCTCTTTTGGGTAAGATCTAAGGTATAAATTGACCTGGGAATGGAGTTGTTCTTTTGAGGTTAGAAGAACATGCTCGGATTTGGTGAGATGGATTTTCATAACCTCTCCTATGTGTCAGGTGTGGTGCTGGTTATGGCACAGGAGAAGCTGGCGTTTCTAAGATAATTTCTTGTGTGTCTATTTACTGGCCAGTGTGACACAAAGAAATGCTCTTTGTGCCTTGTTTGACGTCTTACACTGGAGGATTCCCAGGCTTGAGCTGTAAGTAGCCCAGACTCTAAGCAATTCACCTGATTTGATCCTCAAAGCAATCCTGTTATATTACAATAGGGTCTCTCCTATTTGAGATCTCTAATGTGACAGAACGTGTGAGCACTGACTAAAGCTTTTTCTGTTCACACATCTGTCATGGTTCCCTCCTGCCAGATGTTCAATGAGATATCAGCTCTAATTGAATCTTTGCTTACAGTCAGAGCAGTTATAGGGATTCAGTCTTGTGTGAAATGTCTGATGTGCAATGGAGTGTAAATCAGTGGTCCCCAACCTTTTGAGGTTGTTGGGCACCAGAGGGCGTGGCCATTCACCCGTCGGGCGCCAGGGGGCGGGGACAATTGCGCGCCTGGGGGCGGCTCCCCCCCATAGCCGCATGCCCGGGGGCAGC